GAGGAACTATAAATGACAGCTGTCTGCCCTGAGCCACCGACTGCCATCACGTATCCATTCCCAAAACACTTTAAAACTGCTGCTGCAGCTTTTGCGAGAGCACGAAGGAGGAAGCAGACACATCCAGACAAAAAAAAATGGTTGCAAGGAGTGGGTGAGGTGGATTTGAGTTGATGAAAGAAAAGGGAATTGGGCAGGGGATGGGGGTGGGGGTGGAAGGGCTGTTGGGGAAAAGACAGGAGAGCTGGTAGTTACAGCAAAGACATCTGTCGCTGCTGCCGACACCCACCGAGGCATACAATACCTTAGTTTGAATTAGCCCTCTGCCGGCTTCTCAGTTAACACCTGAGGAGGTCATTATGATGCCATTAGGATGAGCAGTGCAGGGAGGGCAGAGAGGAGTGAGAGAGAGGGATATCCACGCTAAGTGTAAACAGTCTGTCTGTCTGTGTCTGAGAACTTTCTCTTCCCCTGGAGAGCCCTCTCTCCTCTGACAGAAGAATGACAGAGACCTCATGGGAATTACAGCATTCTCCCTCTCTGTCTCTCTCTCCCTCTGTCTCTCTCTCTTTGTTTCCCACGCGGACTGACAGATCACAAATTCACAGCAATAGGGCCTATTTTAATACATTTTCTGTTGGTACATGAGGCTGACTTAAAATAAACAACCTTTCTATTGCCTCACGCTCACTCTCATTTTCACAGTATCTCTCTTTCTGAGTATGCTTTGCTGTTGTTGCCGCTGTTGTTGTGCTGCATTGTTCAGGGGGATTTTCTTCTTTTTTTCTCCCCTCTTTTTCTTCCTTTCCTCTATTCTCTGGAGAAGAAGGAATGCTTTTCTGGGTGCAGTCAGTGATACGGCACGGAGCAGCTCTTTCAGTTTCATTATATAAACAGCTTTGATGCCTCTTCTTGCTCTCTGGTTTCTATGGCTAAGTGGCTTTGGGAGAGGGCTCTGGACTAGAGAGACAAGAAGCGTGTGTGCTTCTGCTTCGGTTTCATGTGTATGTGTGTATACAGTATGTGTCTCTGTCTTTACTATGTCCTCACACGTGCCTTCTTCCACTTAAATATAGTTTTGCAGATGAAGAAGTGTGGCCTCAGTGGCCTCAGTAAGTGTTACAAATGTTTCTAATTACATTGTTTTAACTTCCTGAAACTGGCTCTCAAACTTAAACTCTGGATTATTTAAAGGTTGAGACTGAAAAACAGCTAAAGATATGTTATTAAAAAAATAATTAATACATACAAACAAATTGTATTTCATGATTTTGTCTATAGGCTCATTTTAGATTATGACATTCTTTTGCTTCCTTGTTATAACCCCAGTTTTTGTTCCCTTTGCACTGAGCATCAAAACCATTTCCTGCTTAATCACTGTCGTCCTCTTGCTCCGATCCTTCTTTTCTCTTAATATTTGCTTTGCTTTCCCTTATTCCTGTTCCTCCTCTTCCTGTCTTGGTTCTCTTACTCCCAATATTTGTTATTTTGTGTGTCTGGGAAGATTGAGCTGCTTATTGCCCCAGGTGCGGTCAGCCAAACCAGGCATGACTGTTGCAATCAGTGGGAGAACACACACACACACACACACACACACACACACACACACACACACACACACACACTTAATGTGGGAGGTCCTCTTCTCTGTGAGGAGTTTAAGAGCATATCTACTTGCAGCCACGATGGTCTTCATTAAGACCTTGGCGTGGTGTTTGTTTGTGAGCGATGAGGAGACTGTTATGGGGATGACCAGGAGTTTGCGAGGAGCTGATGTCACTGCCCACCCACTTAAGGGCCTCTTATCAAGGCCATGCACTGCACTGTTCTCTCTCTCTCCCACATCCCCTCTTCAATTACCCCTTCTCCTCTCAGCTGTTCACCGCTGTGGGAGCTGGCACGAGACTATGTGTCCTGGGGATTTCTTCACATCCCTCCCTTCATGTCTTCTTTCTTTCCTCCTGCTGAGCTTCCTTCTAAGTCCCTTCCTTCCTCTCTGATCCCCCTCTTCATGGTTCATCACCGCAATGCTTCCTCTACACAAACCACAGACATAGAGGCGACCTCGTACTCCAAAGATTGTCCCAGGATCTGCGTATATTTATCACAGGCATGTGGAAAGTTTGTTTTATTAGTATAATTTATCATCATTTACATTCTGTCTGAGTTTGTTTCTCTGAAGGCTGAAAAAAAAAAACCCAAGTAAAGGGTGCAGATACAAATGTTTTGCAAACTGACACACTTGTGTATGTCCCTGAAGATAACATCATGTAGTGTGGGACTTTGACCTCAACCTTTTACAATAGTCTAAACTAATGTAATTTGAACCTGCGCTGACATTTAAAATAATGCTGTGCCTGTGTCTTGTTAGCCTGATAATACAAGCGAATTGCAGATAAAAAGATCATGGTAGCATTTGTGGCAGTGAAACCTATTGATTTCACTCCTATAAACATGCTTCTGTGTTTCTCCATCTCATTCCCTTGCTTCCCCTCTCTTTGTGTGTCTTAATATTACTTGCCAAATCAGTTCCTCGTGCTTGTCTTATCGTCTGATGCTGACAATGTAGACACTCAGAGTTGCATCCTGCAGGCATTTTCATTAAAGCACTAATACACATTGGTAATTAGGTGACAAAGAGGCCTCTCTTATTGTACTGATCAGCTGCTGAGACGTAGTCCTCGGAGGCCGGCACAGAAGTAGGTTGCCTGTGTATGTGCGTGTTTCAGTGTGTATCCAGTCTGTGCCATTGTTACTAAGGAATTCGGATGTTGTGTGGTGGCACTGTCCCTCTTTAGCTCTTATTGGATCTTGACATTATAAACTAAAGAGAATTGATACGATGACCCAACAGTCCATTGAATATTATTTTCCTATTTATAATCTACATTATATTTTATGAGTGGAAACATATTCATGCAGTGAAACTCTTGCATTTCCCCGCACGCACATTTTTTCTCCTTTCCCTATTCCCCATCACTCTCTCTTCTTATTTTATATCAGATGTTTCTTGAGCCACCTGAGGCACAGAACAAATAACATGCTGCAAATGAAATTTCCTGTGAAGCTTATTGATGTCATTAAACACTAGCATACTGAGGCCCAGAATCATTTTAGTCTTCATCAGACCAGCTGACATTTTAGTGAATTAGCTGTGAGGTTCTGTGGGGGTGAGGTGGGCTTGTTTTAGCTCCTCTACCACCACCCTCCCATAGGGTCAAATGGTAGAATCAATGATTTCATTTGGTCTGTCTGCTGGCCTTTGATTGGCTGGCATAAGGCCAATATGTGTCTGATTCATAATGTAATTCTTGTGTTTTGCTCTTTAAGGAGTATCCTACGTTAGCACTGAGTTTATTTTGGGTATAACGTTACAGTTTTGTGATTATCATTAAATTCATGTTTGACGCGAAAGCTGCTCTTTGTATTATTTATTTATTTGTGAGTTCGTAATTTGCATTTGACCTTGCTGTTCCAAAGATCTATTAAGTAAGTTTGGTACATGCAATTTTAGAGATCTGCATAATTTCATTGTTCCATGGTTGACATAAAACAATGAAATGTGGTCTAAAGAATTTATTTATATTTATTTATTTGTTTATTTTTGTGCCAAAAGTTGCAAAAGCTGAACACCTCATGTCCCTTAAATGTTGCGTTACTGTTGTTTGTTTGTTTGTTTGCTTTTCTTCTAATTTCTCTGTACTGATTCAGAACATTTTTGCACTTGGCATTGTAGCACTGAGCAGTGATCCTTTCCCTTCTCTAAATAAGTAATTTCATTAGTACACACAGGAAGTTTGCTGGGTTCTGCAAAACACTGGCAGCTTGTGAAGGTCAATTTGTATGATTTGACATTGTTTGGATTTATAAATGGATTTTTTTTTTTTAACTTGTTAACCAAACATTTCATTTAGTAAAAGATGCAATGACCAATCCCTGTTCCGCTTGTTGTGTGCATGTCTGCTTTTTGGTGTTTTTTAAGTCTCAGCGCAGGTTTTCTCCTTTCCACACATTAATGTCATTTGGGCATCATCCCGCTCCGTGCGGCGAGACATAACAGTGTCTGGTTGTTGCTTGTTTGTGTTTGGGGGTCGATGGGTTCAGCATGACTCAAGCTCGGGCGCGCTGCGTAGCTGTGGCACCTCGGCTGGCCTTTGGTTTCCTGATTTAGTAAGACTAACACTTCTAAAACAAACCAATGTGAGCCTCCATAGCAGCAGCAGCTCCCTCTGTGGTCCATCAACCAAACACAATTGTTGTGACATGTACAGGACAGAGAGTTTGTCATAGCATGCGTTGAGACATCATAACAGCGTCAATAGCTCTACTACATCTTACTGCTAGCGGTGGCGTGCCTTGCCATCTATTATCACTGTTAACTCCTCTGTCTCTCTCTCACACCTGATCAAAAATTGAAATCTGTTCCGAGTGCTTCTCTGTGTTCTCAGCTGAGCAGGACAGGGGGAGAAGAAGAAAAAAAAATAAGGAAAATGGAAAAGAACGTTGTTAATGTCACTGAACCATGAAAGGCTTGGCCCGGGGTTGGAATGACTCGGTATATAAGGTTCTTTAGTGCTGTGGCTGCGGGGATAAACATAACTTACATCAGCCCTTCGCTTGTACAGGAGATTTCCTCTCCTGGCACTTACAACCTCAACACTCTCACTACACTGTGATTCGCACACACGTACACACACTACACATAGTACAATCCAGACCCTTTCAAGTTGCTCGTGCTCACACACACACACACACACACACACACACACACACACACACACACAGACCAGAGGGCAAACGAGGGCTGTGAATAGTATTTTTTATTCTGTTTGTAAGCTTGACAGTGGGTGCTATTACTTGCTCACACATGCACACAGTTTAGTTGACTTTTGTGGGATGGATTTGTATCAACAGCAATATAAAATTATTAATTGCTTTAAGACTGTATTATCAGTGTAATGTCTCACTGTGTGTTTTCTGTGTCTTTTTTTCCTCTGCAGATCATCACTCAGTATGTTTATGAGCTGTTGGAGAAAAAGTGCAACATGACTAAAGAAATCCTGCCAGTAAGTACCCATACTGAAAGGAGGCATTTTCTTCTTTGATTTATGCCATTGAAGATTAAAGGGAGTATTAAATATTAAAATGGACGTAAATGCTTAGGCTTCAGAGTGTGATTATGATATTGAGTGTTCTGTTTAAAAAACTAAAGAAAAGGGGATTGTGAGGAGTCAGCTCTCCCAATTCATTCTTTGTCTTTCTTTTTCTATCTCACTCAGTTTCTCTCTTACTCCCTGTCTTTCTTACCCTCCTCCTCTGCCCACATCCTTTGTGCAAAAGTGTCTCCTCAACAAATTAACTGTATTGTGACGTTTCATTTCAAAGGCACAGAGGCGCAGCATGCTGATGCTTAATCTGTTTTGCATTCAATTGCGCTGAAGGGGACTTTCTCTTCTGCCATCGTGGAGTTATTCTTTGCCCAGCTCATCCAGGCTCAGAGCGCACACTTAATTCCTTTTATTTGTTGTTGGAAGTATGTTTGTCTCTTTTTCCCCCCCTTTACCTCGCCATTCCTGCTCTTTTTTTCTGTATATAAAAGTAGTGATCATTTTTCAGTGCGCGTTTATGGGGATGTTAGGCAGCGCCAGTGTTTAGAAACATGCCAAAGTTAGCTCCAGCACTAACAGTGTCCATAAATCACCTAGCCAGAGTCAGCGCCTTTCATTAGCCCCCATACACTTTTACTGGTTTATCTGCCTGGCCTATTTATCTCATTATTCCCCTGGAAAATTGCTCTGTTATGCTTTTCTGCTGCCCACCCGCCCACACGTATACGGCGTGTGTGTGTGTTGGTGGTGGGTCCGTCCACCTGCATGGCATTGAACTTGTGACCGCAGATTTTAAGAAGATTAACCGAAGCCAAGTATAGGGAGAAGGAATGAGGGCGCACAAGAGAATAAAGGGTAAGATTTTCTCCCCCACTTGGCTCCCTTTGTCTGTTTGGATTAAGTTCTTGCAGCTGCCACCCATGGCTTTTATGGACAGTGTTTGTCTCCTTAGCGGTTATTCTAGGCATACTTGGGAAGGATGCAAAGAAGCACTGGATGTGGAGCACAACGGCACACACTTTCTCTCTCTCTCTGTTTTACTCTCTGTTATAAGGACTGTTATCTGAGTGGTTAATGTATCGATGCATGTGAGCTTTTTTAGAGTACACACAAGAGAACTCATGCACTTTACATATGGAAAATATCTTTTTTTTTCTTCAGGTGTTTTTTTCCTCTAAAGCAATAGAATTCAGAGATGTACATATAAAATCACAACAAGACTGTTTTCAAGCATTGTATTTGAAATGAATTACATTTCGCTGACACGTGGTAACCCGTATTTTTCTGGACGTTCAGGTGGATGCCACAGAAGATGAACCCACCGGTTTTATCTACCTCAGCCCAGATGCCTTATCCAACCCATCTAAGCTGCTGGTGCTGATCCAGGGCAGTGGTGTGGTGCGGGCTGGTCAGTGGGCCCGTAGGCTAATCATCAACCAGGACTTGAACTCAGGGACACAGATCCCCTTCATTGAAAGAGCCATGCAGGTAGAGGTCACAACAAAGAATTTCAAGCTATTTTATTATCTGTTGAACGAATGTTCTGGTCTTTGACCTGTTTCTTTTTTCTTTTTCCCCCCTTTTTTTGCAAAACTGGGAGTCAGCTTTGGTTTGGTGGTTTTTGTAGGACTTGTACGATTTTGGTGTGATGGTTGAATGTTTGGGGCTGTTGAGCAGTTGTGGCAAAGTTAGACTCAGTGTGGAATCATATTTTAGATGTTATGTACTTCACTCTGTGTTGGAATGGGATTGCAGGCATGCTTTTTGGTTTATTAGTTTAGACTCTTGATTTACTGTATCGACTCACTTCAGTTTAACTTCATTGTACAGCTTACGCAAGCGTAGGAAAAGAAAACAAAACTTCGCCCTGGGGTCATAAGAGAAATTATGATGCTGAACACTTTGAACATTTCACATTTCATATGATCACAGAGGCAAATAATGAGCAGGCATACAGTCACAGGTGCAAACTCCTACCATCAAATGATATCACGCACTGAATTTTGGCTTCATTTGTATTGTTAATAAACCGAAGGACTTTCTTCACTTTTCCTTTTCACAGAATTCTCCTGTAGCGTTCATGTGTTCATGGATGACTGAGATGCGAGAGGGAACAATGTAGAGTTTCTAGCCTTTTAGTTTTACAGGTGCACATAAAAACTGGAGGTTACGCCAAGTGCTTGCTTGTAGGGGGTCATCTGATTGTTGAGGTTTTCACTATTATTGTGGGGTTTTTGCCTTACAATTTAAAGTGCCTGTGGTGACTGTTGTGATTTAGTGCTATACAAATAAAATGGAATTAAATTGAATTTCTAGAAACCTAATGGTGGATGCTGGGGGGACTGGTTGAAACAGCAGACAGCGATGCAAGGGAACAGCAGCACTTATCCGAGAGGGGGAGATGGTAAAAATCAGCAGCTTAAACAGACTGCCAAATTGGGAATGCGTGTTTGATATATAATGTGAAAAGAGTGAGGCATGTTATTGTGTGCATGCCTAAACCAGCTCACAGGCTGCTTCACAAATGTATGTGTCAGCAACCAAAAGGTACCTCTTTCTGTCTAATTATTTTCACCCGCTTCTCTATCCTCACTACCACTTCATGTATAATGACCTACTCTTCCAGATGACACAGACTAGATTCTTTCTCCCGCCTTCCTTCGTTTTGCCCATCTGATTAACATAAAAACGCTGCTGTGTAAATCCCTCTCCTATTGTGTACAACAACTGGAGAAGTTAGAGTAGCGCATGTGTGTCCATGTGCGCTAACGGATGAATCAGGTACCCCTAGACTGTCTAATACAGTTACCCCGGCTGGTGTTACAGTTGGAGAAGGCAGGGTTGTGCTGTGGAGAGCCAAAGTGACAGCTTCAATATAGAGAACATGGTGTGTGTGTGGTGCGAGTGTTGCCCATTCATCATAGTAAACAAGAAATCGTGTTCTTGCACCCTGACAAATCATCATCCAGACATTTACTGCACAAGGGCCTTGTACTGTGAGCGCACTGGAGAAAAAGCCACACACATTTACAGTCAATTCATGCTGCTGGCATCCATTATGGACATGTTTGTACTATATTATGTTATACCACACAGTGTCTCTCGATGTCTTATGTACCGGAGTTACAGCTACTGTACCATCTTCAAAAAAGACTCACTTTATCGCGATTTTGGTGTCAACTTTACAAATTTGATAAGATTTGTCTTTTCCCTTTTTGGTCTTACAGTATGCACTGTATGATTTTATTTTAGATTTGCATGAAAGAACGTACTGAGGTGAGAGGAAAAATTAAAAAGGGATATGAATTTAAATGTTTTTTTTTGTGCCTCCAGCACAGAAGGAGAAACTCCGTAGCTACCCTACACTACCAGCCAACCTTATAAAAAGGCACCCACGTTTATTTAATAATACGTAGTGGTATCAATATTTCTTTGAGCATACACAGGCCATATTATATCAGGTATTTGACATGTAATTGTATGATGTTATTACTCCCCTTTTATGCGCTTCCCCTTAAACATTTTATCTGGCTAGCTCACATACCTGTGCAAACTACTAATTCATCATAATGACAGATGAATCCCATCTTACTCTTTAAAGATACAGCCTTTCCCCAGTAAACCAGCACAAAGACAAACACTCACAGCGGCATGACATGAGTAATACGTTATTTTAAATTTATCTTCTGTGTCAGTATTTATAATGAATGCCTAATTGGTTGGCCAAGGGGACTTCTTAATCCAAACATGTGGGAAGAGAGGTACAGCAAAAATTGTGATGACTAGGTGAGATCTGAAACCTGACAAGTAGCCCCTATCCCTCCCTGGGCAAAAGAGATGACTGTTTGTGAAGTTTTGCTACGTGTGTTTATGTTGGGTTGCAGTCCAAATCTTTCCTTACTACATCTGCTTCTATGTTATTTGTCAGCAGTTTAATCTGTGGCTATCAAATGTTGCTCTCTCTACCTACCGGATATGTTCTGCTGCTAAACACAATGCTCCTGACTTGTCAGAAGTCATTTTGGAAAATTAAGGAATTGTGTTGATTGACTGATTGATTTTGACAAAACAATCAAAGAAAATAGCGTATATATCCACTTAATTAAAGTCATTTAATTGAAAATGAGCTGTGTGAAAGTAACCAACCCATCATCAGGAGTGCAGACCTAAAAAAAATAGGTGTCTGGACTTAAACTGTTCATTAGAAGAGGCTTATTCTGTGTGACTGTGTGAAAGCAACACACATGCCATTATTTTATTTATAACTTTGTTAAGTGTGGTTTTGGGTCAGAATGTCACATTTTCTCAGTATAATTTTTAATTATGTTTAGATTAGGGTCCGTTTTGTGGGAACAATCTGTTGTCTCGAGTGTAGCTCATGTGATGTTACTCATGGGAAACTGATTGGAAATTCAAAGCCTGCAGCAAAGGGTCAACTAGAGTGCATTCAAGGAAATCTGGGGGAGCTTGTGGCTTGGCAAAACACAGAATCACTACTCACACGCACATACGGATAAAACTGTTAATTCACAGCGCTGTTGTAATGTGTGTGGATGTAGTGCGAGCACACTCTGGAATTCTTCGCCATGTTCCTCAGAAGCTCGAGTCAGCTTTTCCTCTCTTCCGATGGGATCACCTCTGCCAATCAGGCGATTGTAGGAAAAATTGCTGATTGGGCTAGTTAATCAGCCCCTTCACGCAACACACATGCATACACACATGCACACACAATCACATTGTTGGGTGAATCTCAGGGCAGTCTGTCTCTTACGCCGCAATTTACTTCCCATCACCTGTCTCTTTCTCCCATATTCATCCCATGTCTTGTTCACGCTGCTGTATGATGGTGACACATTAATAACCTGGCAAAAACATATACATTAAATACAAGTCACATAGACACGTGCACACAGAGAAAACACACATACATAGACGCAAACACATCACACTTGGATGCAGGGTATACTCGGGACTATTTGGCGCAGTAAACATTAATGCTGGGTTGAGGGAAAATTTTTGTGCCATCTGTGTAGGCCTCATGCATGTTGTCTTTATGTGCATGTGTGCACATCTAAGTGATGCTATTCCCAAAGTGTAGAAGTAAAATGACAGGTGAGAGGAGAAGGAGAAAAGGTTGCTCCAGCAACAAACACAAAGTGGTGGAAGAGGTGGAAAAGAGGAATCTGAGAAAAAGCCGAGTTGATGGGGTGTGGGGTGCAGAAAGGGAAACAGGTTATGATTGGTTGGAAGAGGGCAGAAGTGGAAAGAAGGAGAGGAGTGTGGAAAGGATTGATGCAGAAAGAGAGAAATAAGAGGAGGACGAGGGAGTGACTGCAAATGGGTTGGGACTGGCAGAGGAGAGACGGGAGTATAGAGAGAGAGTAGGCAGAAGGCAGGCATCTGACAGCTCCACTACGGGGAGAGGGCCTCTTAATGACAGCTTATTCCTTCATGATTTCAATTCCTGACAGTCGACAGGTCTGCTTGTTGCATCATGGCAGCTGTATCATTACCTTCTGGCCCTGTCAATGCTCTGCATCCTGAGACTGAGATGGTGGAGGTGTAGGGTGCGTGCCATGGGGTTTGGAGGGGATGAGGAGGTGGGAAAGAGAGTTTAGACTGTGAGGTTACAGTCGGAATATTTGAGGGAGGAGGGATATTGAATATTGAAAGGTGGGATCATAAGTTATATGGTAGGTGTTGGAGTTAGGAGTAGGACTTTCAACTAGTTTGCATCCATATAAAAACAATGTACATGAATGCTGTTTTGAGGTTGTAGCTGTTTGGTATTGTACGATCAAGATGCAGCAAAGTTGATCCTTTTATTTTACATCGCTTCCTAACTTTTTTCTCCCTCATCCTTTTTATTCAGCTGCCTTTTTTTGCATTTTGCATTTTGCCGGTGATACTAGTTGCTACCAGTAGAGAAATTTTCTTCTAAAATTTTCTGTATTCTGCTGCGGTCCTGTAAAACCTAATTTCCTTTTTAGTATTTCTGAATGCTTGTAACTTTTGTCAGCCACCGAGTTTCAATTTACGTTTTTGTCAGATTGTCAGAAGTCTTCAGCATGAGAAAATAGTTTATGAATTTAAACTCCTTCTCATTGCTTTTTAGATCATTTACATATGAATTAATACATTTACAATACCAAGTCTCTCAACCCTCCAGTTTGTTAGCATGTGCGCACACAGCTCCACACGAACCACGAGCGTTATGCAAGGTCTTCACGAACGACTCAATTTAATTTGAAAGTTGCTCATACAAAACGGATCTATAGCCGCTGTCGCCCCCCTTCCTTGTCTCCATCTCACTCTTGCTCGCTCACTAACTCTCTTGATAGTGAGTCAGGCTCGACACTGGAGATTCTCTGGAAAGAAAGAGGGGGTGTGGTGTTTTCGAAAGTGTGTCAAAAGCCTAGGGGTTTGTATCTGCCCAGAATTTCAATGGGAGGCTGAAAGGGGGCAGCGAGGCAGACACACTCAAACAC